TAACCCAACCACTAGCTAAAAGGGATTATGAAGAAACTTGCCCTACGGGTGATTTATTTGATAGTTATCCACTATGGGGCTTCTTCCACCTTCCTCTGAAGCATTTGGTAAATGCATCAGGCCATTGTCTTAGAAAGGATACTAGACTAGGTAGAACACTGGTATTCTCTGTATAGCAATTTCTACGTTCAGTAGGGAAAAATTATTTTTGTAGCTGAGTTTATGGTGTTGCCCTCTGCAGAGTACTTTATACAGTGCAGCAGGCCAATTTTCTATATTTGCATGCGCCCGCTCTCTTTGTTAATGATATCAAGACTCCCTTTGTGATTACATTTTTAAAGTAATGAATGTTTCTGCAGTCGTAACACAGCAGAAACAAAATGTAGTGGGTTTTAGAAAGAACAAATGGTTGGAAGCTAAAGCTAGACAAATTCAGAAAAAGGTGGATATTTTTGAGTGAGTGTAATGAACCAGTGGAACAATTTACCCAGGGAAGCGGTGGATTCTCCATCATTTGACGTCTTTAAATCAAGACTGGATATCTTTCTATGATATATTCTATAGCTCAAAACAGAAGTTATGGGTTTGATTCAGAGATTACTTGGCAAGCTTCTCTGGCCTGTCTTATGCAGAAGGTCAGACTATACCATCATACTGGTCTCCTCAGGCTTCCCAAACAAAATAAAGCTACAAATCTATTGTCACATAAACAATCCTCGATGTCTTACCTCTGTCTGTACACGTAACTGGTTGGAAAGACCTTCTTTATCCTGTAGCAATCTCCTTTCTGAATTCTTGAGCTTTTCTACTGCATTTTTTAGCTCTAACAGCTCTTTCTTGGGTTCTATGACTCCATCTGACTGGCTGAAGTCCTCTCCTTTATGGTGTCCCAAGGATTTAGCCACCTTAGCATTTTTGGTAGGAACAACATGAGTTATAGCAGCTTTCGGAACCAGTATTCGAACAGCTTCAATCTCCACCGACTTATCACTGTGTATTTTCCCTAGTTGGAGAACTCCAGGACTCAGGGAAGAGATAGCTTTCTTGTGTGGACTGTGATGGGCATGACGACTTGTATTGTGGGCTCCAGCAATTACTTCCACAGTTTTAGGTGGCTGCTCAGTTTCCATGCCATCTCCAGGTCCACGGATGGGTGACGAGGCATAGTCGGCTAATTTGGAGACAATGGGAAGATAATATATTTATTTTATTATGCCATTGGAAGTTGCAGAAATTCAAAGAGAATGGCAACAAAACTCTGGAAGGAGCTTGGTTTTACAATGCATCTGCAAAGCAGCACAGTGCTTGGGCACTGATTCAGTTAGGACTCAAAAGGGAAAGCGCACTCAAATAAGCGTGTTCATTAATCAGTAAGGTCAGTAATACAAAATCCAGCCATCTAGCTGATCAGGACTTTTTTTTTAGCTTTATTTATATTTACATGCTCATTCCACAAACAAGACTATATAGATAAAAATGTCAACCACAGCCACTTTGCAGGAAATCTATATGAACTCACTACATTAGCCACTGAACCTTGACTTCAAAGCCAAGAGGATTTCACTCCTTCACTGCTGAAAAGCATTAGACTGCTTCACAACTTTAAAGAGATACTGTCACAATACAATATATTCATAAGTTGTTTTCCTTAACGGTGTCTAGTAATAACTTAGTTGTAAATCCTGAAAAATTAAAAAAAAAAAAAAAATTACTTTTCACTATTTGTGCTGTTTTACTTCATTGTCCAAAAAGCGGGGGGAGGGGGAAGGGGGGAATGGAAAGAGGAATTAACTAATCACTTCCTGTTTCTCCTGCAATCCTCTCCCCCAGTGCTGGCATGTTTGGGTTTCTACCACTGCAGAGCAATGTTTAATAAAAAAAAATATCTAAACAAACATTTTACTAAACATTTCTGTTGATGCTGGATTTTATTAAATTGCACACAACCCTAAACTGATTGTAAAATTGTCACTGTGTCACACTTCCTGCCTAGAAAACAAGAATTTCCAAGTACTACCACACTGCAGGGACATGGAATGGTTGATCTTCAATGATATTTTCCATTTCTAACGTGTATGAGTCTAAATTGGTGAAAGATGTTCCAGAACACCGAAGACTGATGTTTGACCTTTTAATCATATGACCCAATTTATGTCGTCACACTTCAGCGGCACTGCACCCTCTCCCTGGTCCACCAAGGGCACCCATTTTTAGGCTTCCACCTCTCAACCATTACTTCGGTTGGGCGAAAACGTGTTTCTCTCCCTTCTGACCAACGTTTTTCCAGGCTCACAGTTCTCTGCCTACACTATGGTATTCCCAGCAAATCAGACCTGCCTAAGCAGGCCAGCGTCTGTGCATTGCTTTCTCTCTGAAGGCTTATGAACAGTTTAATTGCCAGCAGTTAAAAGTTACCACACAGCCTTTTGTAAGCGAGCACATTTATTCCTAAGATGAAAGCATTACAAAAAAAACTATAAAAAACAATGAGTTCCTGTATGCCTGCTAAAAGCTTACTAGGTCACCCATCTGTCTTATGGGGCCTCAGTTGGCCAAAGTCCTTCCAACCTTCCCAGGCCTCCCTTGGACAGAAGGTCCTGTCCCTTTGCTGGATCAGAAAGAAGGCCTTGAGTCTATTTAAAATCAGGCTATTTCTCCATAGGACCTTTCTTTGTCTGTTGGTCTCTGGAGAATCCAGTTTGAACCAGCATATGTGAGCCTCTCCAGATGGTGATACCTCTCTAGCAGTGTTACAACCTGAGTGAATTTGCCTAAACACTCCTCCACACACACCCCCGTTCTTAATTCCTGGAGGAGCTGTGGTAATTCCATGGGGGAGGATGACATACAATCCTTGGCCCACAATGATACATAAATTTAATACAGTAAGATCTCCCAAAGATATTGCAGGAAATTGCTAGATCTGTCTCATATGTAAACCCAGAAATAACTCAAGAGCTCAACTAGTTAACAGATAATAGAGAAGAGCTTTTTAGAATTTAGTTTTTTCAAGTCTAGTCAAGAAATCTTTTTGATAGAAAATTGATTTCTTGCTAATGTAAAACAATATCTGCAATAACTGAACCGGTATCCTTTGCCTCACACAGTTAGTAAAACACTAACTGTGTGAGTTCTTTCTTGCCAATGCTAATCTCTCCCTGGTTATTAATGCCTTTGTCACATCCCACCTGAAGTAACACATTATGCCTGCCTAAACCAACATTGAGAAAAAGTGGGACTAAGAAAACAATATCTTCAAAGAATAAAATTCTTAGGGATTTAGAGTATTCCCAGCAAACCATGTCCATTAAGGTGTAAAAGAGATTGACTTCTTACCACTGTTGCACAATAGGCAGGTCCAAGAACAGACTATATACATTTTGCTGTGCCTCACCACTACAGTGTGACATAAGGACAAAATGAGAATCCTTAATTCTGAATTTCCTAGTTTTGGCAGATTTAGGTACTTTGCCTACAAATTGATCTATGCCAGCACAAAAGTCTACTTGTGCAAGTCTGTTTGCAGAAGTGGGGTCTTAATGCTTAATTCACTATTCTACTGTAATAAAAGTAAGGGAGCCGAATAAATGCTAGACACCTATCTGCTAGGAACTAGATGAAGAGCATCATCTCAGGCCATCAAAGAGTAATAACTTTAAGTTGTTACTGGCCTGATCTGAACTAGGGATCCAAAGGTAAAAGAAAACATTTCATTACCACTCCCACCCAGGCTCTTTACTATATCTCTGCTTTTCACTGCAACAACAAAGATTCCCACAATCTTTCCCCCGAGATATACTAGATAATGTTTTCACCCCTCAGCTGACAGAGAGCTGAGAAGCTAGCATCTAGCATACACTGCAGCTCTGTTCTTTAATTAAACAACTCTAAAGGGAATACAGAATTACCAGAAAGTATCTATTTAGTAAAGGAAGATCACTTACCTTTCTTCCCTAGAGATGTCATTTTCCCCCCTCTGGCTGATGGAGCTGTATGGGAGAGAGGACGACCAAATCTAAAAAAGGAAAACGCCCAGGGTGAAACAATAATTAGTCCTCTAAAACGTGCCTGCTAATTTTGCTAATGTTTCTTCTGAACTCTATTTTGTCCCTCTACGACCTGGAGCAGTAAATCCACTGATGTGCGCCTTGGGACAGGACCGGAGCTCTCTGTGGCTGGAAAGGGCCTAGCACATTTTGGGAGCTATCACCCTCTCGGGAACACCAATAACGCGGCTACGTTCTGTCACGACGAGGCAGTTTGTTTTTCTTTTTGACGCTGTCTGCTCCGCTAGCCCCGCAGAGATCTGACTGGGCACTGTCGGGGGGGGGGGGGGGGGCTGGCCTGGGCCAAAGTCCCCTCTCCTGGCAGCAGCTGGACACAGGCCGGTATTAGGGTTGCCAACCCTCCAGGTTTGGCCGGGAGTCTCCGGGAATTAAAGATTAAGTCACCGGATTAAATCTCCAGGAAAACCGCCAACCAAAACCGGCCACGCGCCACAGGCGGAGAACACCGGGGGGCTGCTGGGCCGAGCCCGGGGGGTTAGGGCCCTGGCAGAGCTGCGGTCCCCGGCCGGCCCAGCGAGTTCCGCCCCCGCCCCAACAGGCTCGGCCGGTAACTGCGCCCATCCTGCGGGGCCGCGAGTCCCGGGCCCAGAGCCGGGAACCCCCAGAGATTCCCCGGGCGGGGGGTTAAAAACAAGCCCCACGCGCAGGGTCCCCGGCTGCGGCGTCCCCCAGGGGCCGCTCGGACGATGCGAGCCCGCAACACGCAGAGCGACCGGCCCCGCCCGCCCCGCGAGGGGCGTGACACACTCACCGGGCCGCCACGCGCCGGGTCTGCCTGTCAGCCCCCAGAGAGGGCTTCTCGGGCCCCCCACCAGCCAACCGATGCTCCCTTCCCTCCCCCCCCGCACTTCCGCCACCTCTTCCGAGGCACTTCCGGGTTACTCACGGTCGCGCGCGCATGCGCGGGGGTGGGGCTTCGGTTGCCAGGAAGCGGCTTGGGCAGAGAAGGCGTCTTGCTGAGCTTACGCTGCACCCGAGCCCGGAGGCGGAGGGGACGGTACCATGGTGAGTGGGGGACAAGGGCCCACGGGGGGCTCTAGTCGGGATGGACGTTACAACCCTTCCTCCCTCCTTCCTGCAGCATGGTCCGCCCCGACCTCATGGGGCGGGGGAGTCCTCTGCCCCTGCGGTCCCGCTCCCTCCAGGCACCGCCGCTGATGGGGCAGGTGGGGGGCTGGCTCCGCTCCCTGGCACGGCTGGGACCCGGCTGGGCGGCGGCGGCGCGGGGCTTGTCTCTGCCCTGGGGAGCGGCCGGGCTGCTTGTCACGGGCGGCTGGTCCGCGCACGTCCTGCGGCTCCCGGATTTTTGGCGCATCCTCTCTTGCCGTAGCGCCCAGCAGCGGCCCCCGGCCCCGTGGTGCGAGGCGCTGTACAAACTCAGGGCAGAAGGAGGCGCCGGCCCCAGACCGATGACCCTGTGGCCGAGCCCCCTTCTCCCTCTGCCTGGCAGTAGACAAGGGGTGTGGGGCCCCAGCGGGGTGTTGGCAGCAGAACCAGCCCACTGCAAACCACTCCCGGGGGGGGGGGCATGTGGCTAGTGGGTGCTGGGCACGCCCCACCCCTGTCTCCATCCTTCCACCACCTTGGGTGAAGCAGGAGCCTTGGCATCCAGTCCCGGCTTGAGCTTTGGTTTGCCACCTCTCAAGCATTCTCTTCCAAGGCAGAAGAGTTGTGTTGTGACATTGAGTGCATCTGCACTGGTAAAGTTAGTACCTGTAGTTCAATAATTGCCAGCCACCAGGCAGCTGTCCCTGCGTTAAGCTGTTAGCATGGCATGGTAGTAAAAATGCTCCAGCCCTTTCTACAGCAGAGTTGACATTGTTGCTATGATTGTGGCTGCTGCACTCTTGGTGTCAGTTGCTCTAATACAGGGTTGGGCAAACTATGGCTCGCAGGCCGCATCTGGCCCTCGAACTCCCGCTGGGGAGCGGGGTTGGGAACTTTCCCCGCTTTGGTGCTCCAGCCGGGGAGCAGGGTCAGGGGCTTGCCTTGCTCCACTCCACGTGACTCCCGGAAGCAGGAGCAGCCAGGGGGCTCTGCACACTGCCCCCGCCCCAAGCGCCAGCTCCCATTGGCTAGGAACCTCGTCCAATGGGCGCTGCGGGGGTGGTGCCTGCAGATGGGGCAGCCTGCAGAGCAGCGTGGCCCTGCCTCCGGAGGTGGGCTTCAGATAAGCACCGCCTGGATCCTGCACCCCTGAGCTCCCCCCAGCCCCCCCCAAACCCTGATCACCCTCAAAACCCTTTGATCCCAGTCCGGAGCACTCTCCTGCACCTCAAACTCCTCATCCCCCAACCCCACCCCAGAGTCTGCACCCCCAGCCGGATCCCTTATCCCCCCCCATGTGCCCCAATCCCCTGTCCCAGCCGGCCCTCCATACAATTTCCATACCAAGATGTGGCCCTCGCGCCAAAAAGTTTGCCCACCCTTGCTCTAATATGAGTGCTGATTTTCCTGGTGTTGACAAAGTAATTGAGGCCCAATTTTAGCCTTTAGAATGTGTGGTGTTGGGTATGCTACAAAATAAAGAAGAGGAGAAAGCAAGAAATAGTATGGAGTTAGTGGACCAATTTAATCCTGGAATGGGTTACCTAGGGAGGTGGTGGAATCTCCTTCCTTAGAGGTTTTTAAGGCCAGGCTTGACAAAGCCCTGGCTGGGACAGGGCCGGCTCTAACTTTTTTGGCACCCCATGCAAAAAAGAAGAGCGCCGCCCTGCCGTACCCACCCCCCGCGAGCGCCGCCAAAATCCCCACCCCCAGCACCACGCCCCCCGAAGCCCCGCCCCCTCCAAGCGCCGCCCGAAGCCCCGCCCTCTCCAAGTGCCACGCCGCCCGAAGCCCCCGCCCCCCTCCAAGCGCTGCATCGCGCCAGTCCCCGCCCCCCAAGACCCCGCCCCTCGAGCACCATGCTGCCCGAAGCCCCGTCCCCCCGAGCACC